TAGCCACTCCACATAGGGCACCCATTTGTCTGCTCCCACATGAGTCAAGGCTCGGTTCTTGGCCACACACGCGCTCCGCACCGCATCAGGCCAGAAATAGTCGGGTAGCCCGGCTTCAATGAGCATTCCGCGTGCCGCCTCCGTGATTGTGTGGTTCGCTCGCTCGGCGATGCCGTTCATTGCAGGGGAGTATGGCATGGTGAGGGAGTGCTGAATACCATTCTTCTTCAGCCACAACCCAAACTCCTTGCTCAGGAACTCTCCCCCTCGATCGGTGCGGATTGACTTGACTAGACGGTCTTGTTGCCGCTCCACCATCGGGAACTAATCCGCCTTCAACGTTTCAACCACGTCGCTCTTCTTGGCCAGCACGTACACCCAAGTCATACGGGTGTAGACGTCCACAATAGTGAGGAAGTACTCAGCTCCAGCAGCTCCAAGCTTCAGGGGGCCCACCACGTCCATCACCACCTCATCAAGTGGTGCCTTAGCCGTTGCCTCCGAACTAGAGAATGGGAAATGGGTGAAATTGGCTTGCATGCACGTCGGGCAGCCAAGTACCTCATCGGGCTCCCCCTTCACACGTATGCTAGCAACCATCTCATTCTTTACTAGCTGCTGCAAGATGGGCAGGGCCACATGCCCCATTCACCGATGCAAGGTGAGCCAATCACACTCCCCCGTAGCCGAAGTTGGATTGGAGAATGCCGCGCTCGCAATAGCGCCCCACATACTCTCTCCGTAGTCCTCCTCCGCTGCTGCCTCGGGGTTCTTCTCACCCTTTTGCTGCTCCTTGGCTGCTGCACCTCTCTCCATAGGTTCACCAAGCTTGCCGGTCCCTCCAAGTTTGCACTTCTTGGACTCCTTCTCCTTAGCGCGACCGTCCGCGCAATCGCCGCTACCAACCGCTCCACCTTTGGTGCTGACGCTTGCTGCCACTTGCCTCTCCTTAGGCATTGGGACCACAGGGATCTGCCACATCTTGTTGTAGACATCTCTGTCCTCATGAAGGTCCCAAAGAATCCGATCGCCAAGCCTTGCGGCGTAGGTCTTGGCTCCCTTCGAGTTCGTGTCCATGCCGGCCTTTGCCAACCGCCGCACGGAAATCAGGTTGGCAGCAAGGCTGGGCACCCAAAGCACATTCTTGAGGCCCACCATCTTCCCATCAGCACCCTTAAACATGGCCTTGCCCATGCCTTTCACCTCCGCTCGCTGCCCCAAAGCCGATGTGACATGCTTCACCGGTGACGGTTCGAGTTCGGTGAGCAAGTCCGGGCGAGGTGTCATGCTATAGGTAGCGCCACTATCGATCACCCAATAGTCCAGAGGGTGTAGGGTCACCTTCCCTACAGCTGCTGGCTTCTCAAAGCCTTCATCCTTCTCTGGACCAGTTGGTACTTGCGTCGACACGAAGTAGAATAGACCAGGGTACCGATCGTTGCTCCAGTCCTAGTCATTGTCTCCGCTCGTCATGTTTGCAGCTCCGCCACCGCGACCGATGCTTGCTGCCCCAGCGCCATCCGCACTCGCCAACTCACGGCGGCGGAAATCCTCTTGAAGGATAGCTCGCTTCACATCTTCGAGCGGAGGCGGGGCAAGTCGCGATTCAAGGAGTAGGGCCAGCAACTTGGTCTTCTTTTGGAGCTCACTATAGTTCAAATCCGCTCCCTCAAGCCGCGTCAACAAGTCGAAGAATTTCAGCACCCCTTCTTCAACCGCTTCATCCTCTTCAATTCGTAACGTCGCTATTTGCCGTTCCAACACCACAGCTACCGCCGCTGTTGCAGGAGCGTGTACACCCTTGAGAGCAGCCCATGCCTTTGGTCCCTTCTCTGGTTCACACTGGAAAGGCTTGATGTGACGGATTTGGCTGCTCCCCAACGCTTGCCCAAGTAGGAGGTAGCCTTGTGCGCTCTTCCGCACCCACGGGCTCTTCTCCGGGTCTTTTTCGGGACGCTTCTCCGTTCCTTCCATTACCTCCAGCAGGTCATAGTGGTCGAATTTGTTCTCCATTCTGAAGCACCACTCAGCAAAGTTGTCACCATTGAACTTGTCAAGGCCAAACACTCTAGGCTCATCCCTAGATGGGCCAACACTTGGCTGCACGGGCGCCATGGTTGAATCACGGGGTTGGCCTTGAGCTTGGGCTTCTCCTCTGCCACCAGCACCTCTGCCACCCCTTTCGTCAGGTCCAGCCATTGTCGAAACTGGTCCAAGGGGCTCTGATACCACTTGTTATAGTCACAGTAGGCTCCAATGTGCCTAAAACGAAAGATAGAGTGCACAGTCGGATTTCTGCACAGCGGCTTCAAACGTTCATAGCGTTCTGGTCACAGCTTTAAATGACTTGATTCAACTTGGATCTGGAGCGTCTTATTGTTGCCTACACTAGGCAATTTAGATCGCACAATTTCACCAAGTATAGATGACACAGCGTCGGTTTGAACGAACGGCACTATGGCAGCCACTATAGTCTTAGAACACAAGATAGGAAGAGTTAGGGAGAGTTACGAGTTGGGAATGACTCCCAGCTCCTACAAACCCCAAGAGTCGAGGTACGGTGATGTGGAACAGTGCCACACTGTCCCCAACCATGAAGGGTCTCGAAACTACCCTTCACTAGGGCCTACACCAAGTGAAATGTTACACTACACAAAGTAATGTAACTATCTTCAATATCTTGGGGTGTACCTTTTTTTTTTTCACGGGCTTCGCGATTACTTGAATGTTGACACCAGGGCTCGGGTTCTTCATCACAAACTCATCGTTGAGTTCTTGATGGGTCTGCTGCACACACCTGCGACACGCCGAACGTTCGACAAGCGACAAAATAGAAACCGCGCACGACAAAATAGAAACCACGCGGGACACACAAAACGACCACGTTACACGCGACTAGTGAGAATTCGCTATTGACTTGACACACACACTTGACATCATGACCCATCATTCACACACAATTATAAGCATGAAATATATATTTATTTCATGCACTCATTCCATTCCATGCACACACGCATGCACGCACACGGACAACAAGCCGAGTGCAAACCGTAGGGTTGCACCAACACTATGCTCTTCTGTGCCGCTAGGAGGGCCTTCTCGAGGAGGTCAACGGTGAGAGTGATGGGGCAAACTGAGAGGAAGTGGTCCCTGACTACGCGGAGAGAGTCAGGGAGCCGGGTGACTATGTAGTAGAGGGTGATGTACATGGGGGGGGGGCGGGGGTTCTTGGCGCAGAACTCAGTAGGAAGCGTAGGGCGGTAGCGAGTGTCACTAGTGCGGAGGTGCGTAATGAGGTCAGTGACTGTGGGAAAGGCAGCAAGGTCAGGGAAGAGGTACGGTAGTATGAGGCGGCTCAGTGCAGCAGTGGCAGGGGAGGAGTAGCGTGCAACTACAGCGTCGTGCAAGGTCTGAGCACTCTTGTACTGGCCAAAGTGCGCACGCTCAGAGGTAGGCAGGTGGCGACACACAGCAAGACGTGCAGCAGCATCGCGTTTGGCCCACTGTGAGCGAACAGTGGCGTCAGCATCAGCAGCAGGGGCAGGAGAGGCACCAGAAGTGAGGTCAAAGAGGGAGAGACCGTCTGCCCTATCGCACTGTAGGAAAAGCTGCAGGTCATCTTCCCAGACGTCAAAGTCAATGGCCCGACCCTCAGCGTCAAAAGCGAGGACACTAGGGGTAGCCATGACAGCAGTAGACTAGCAGCGCGAACAGTAGGGTAAGGGCAGTGCAGTGATAGAGGCGCTGCTCTTACCGGACAGGGCGGCTCGGGCGGCTCGGCGGCTCGGCAGGAAATGCAGCTCGGCGACTCGGCGGCTCTGGCGGCTCGGGCGACTCGGCGGCTCAGGCGGCTTGGCGGTACGGCGGCTCGGCAGCTCGACGACCCGGCGGCTCGGGCGGCTCATGTGGCGCGGCGGCTCGGGCGGCTCGGGTGGCTCGGGCGGCTCGGCAGTAGCTCGGCGGCACCGGCGCCTCGGTGGTGACGGCGGGGCCACGTGGGGACGGCGGCGGGGCCGGTAGAGGCGGCGCCGGGGCCGGGAAGGGCGGCGCCGGGGCCGAAGGGGTAGGCGACGGGGCCAGTAGAGGCGGCGCCGGGGCCGGGAAGGGCGGCGCCGGAGCCGGGAAGGGCGGCGCCGGAGCCGGCAAGGGCGGCGCCGGGGCCGCAGGGTAGGCAACGGGGCCAGCAGAGGCGGCGCCGGGGCCGGGAAGGGCGGCGCCGGGGCCGCAGGGGTAGGCGACGGGGCTAGCAAAGGCGGCGCCGGGGCCGGGAAGGGCGGCGCCGGGGCCGCAGGGTAGGCGACGGTGCTAGCAGTGGGGCGGCGCTGGGGCCGGGAAGGGCGGCGCCGGGGCCGCAGGGGTAGGCGACGGGGCCGCTAGGGCGGCTAGGAGGGGGGTCACGAGGGCGGCTTGAACGGGCCGCGAGGGCGGCGCGACGCGACGGAACCGCGAGGGCGGCGGATCGGGGCCGCGAGGGCGACGCGACGGGGCCGCAAGCGCGACGCGTCAAGGCCGCTAAGGCGGCGCGACAGGGTCGAAAGAGGGGAGCGCGACTCGGGCAGAGTAGAGCGCGCTCCAGGGAGGAAAAAAAAGGTGGTGGGCCCAAGGAACAGTTCCCACAGGGGAACTTGCTCGATACCATGAGAAAATGAACGAGAATGGATTGACTAAGGGAAAGTTGGGTACAAGTACAAACCCTAGAAAGTCGTACCCCATATGTGATATCCCACTATAGCCTCCAACAGCTATGTCATATAAATCTGACAAGCAACAACGTGCAGTAGCACCCAAAGAGTGGTCATCTTTGGGGTGGGGGAGAAGGTCTGAAAGAAGTCTACTCCCTCTCGCTGACTGAAGCCTCGAGCAACGTAACGAGCCTTGAAGACAGGCGGAGAACCTGGCGGCCGCTTCACCCTGAAAATCCACATGCCACTGACGATGTTTGCCCCAGGAGGGGGAACTTCGTCGACGTAAGTGCGTGTGGACTTCCAGGATTCCATCTATGCGTCCATGGCTGACTGCCACTGAGAGGAGTACTCACCCACGATCGCCTCAGCGTAAGAGCGCGAGGTCGGGATGTGTGGAGCATCCGGGTCTCCCTCAGGGGCAATCAGCATGGACATGAGATGAGGCGCAGCGGCTGCAAGACACTCAAGGTCCTCCTGTCTGTCTTCAAGGACGTCCGTGCCTAGAGCACACTCACCCCCGACGGACGGAGGACAGACAGACTCAGACTCAGCAGCAAGACTCGCAGCGTAGTCTAGACGACACCGAGCAGCAAAGTCGACAAGCTCAGCAACCAGGGCAGACGCAGCAGTGGACTCAAAGGAAGGGTCAATGACAGCAGTGGCCAGGAGACGCGTGACAGTAGGAGTGGCAGCACGAAGAGAGTCAGACTCTGGGTCAGCAAGAACAGGAAGAGAGGACGCAGGAGGAGACGGCAGAGGGACACACTGTGGAGCAGTGGAAGGACGCAGTGACATCTGGTGTGTGCCAGGGACAGGCGGAGGATGCTCACGTGGTACACGGCGACTAGTGCAGGCAGCACGAACAGGTGACACAGGACGAGACATAGGCGACACAGGACGAGACTCAGGCTCACGACGCTCTATAAGACCGCCTGTCGGACCAGTGTAGGGAGAAGGACCATGAAGCGGTGAGGAAGGCGGTAGCTGTGACAGCGATTGGAAAGGCGGAGGACACTCTAAGGAGGGAGGAGGACTAGGAGGAGGCGGCTGACCAAGAACCTGCTGAAGGAGCGGAACGAAGTACGGCCGCGGCCGTGAAGTGCCCCTAGAAGGAGCAGAGACAGTACCAGAACCTCCAGCAGCTCCAACAGTACCTCCAGCAGCTCCAAAACCTCCAACAGCACCAGCAGCACCTCCTGCAGCTCCAGAACCTCCAACAGCACCAGTAGCACCTCGAGCAGCTCTAGCACCTCCAGCAGCACCAGCAGCACCTCCAGGAGTACCAGCAGCACCAGTAGCACCTCCAGCAGCTCCAAGACCTCCAGCAGTACCAGTAGCACCTCCAGCAGCTCCAGCACCTCCAGCAGCACCAGCACCAGCAGCACCACCGGCATCTCCAGAACCTCCAGCAGCAGTAGGGCCTCCAGCGGGCGGTACCTCAACACCAGGAGCTCCACTCCGGAGGCTGCAGCGCCGAGCGTACCACTCACGCAGCCGCTGAGGGGAGGGAGGCTCCGGCTGCGACACTGCACCCGCAGGGCCACCAGCCCCAACTACAGCAGACCCCCCAGCTCCAGGAGCCCCACGACGGAGGCTGTAACACTGGGAGTACCACTCGCGCAGCAGCTCCAAAGAGGGAGTGCCAATAGGCGTTGTACGGCCAGTCTCAGAACCCCTAGCCTCAGCGCCTCTAGGCTCAACACCCCCAATCGCAGCACCTCCAGGCTCAGCACCCGCAGTCTCCGCACCTCCAGGCTCAGCACCCGTAGTCTCCGCACCCCCAGACTCAGCACCCCCAGTCTCCGCACCCCCAGGCTCAGCACCCCCAGTCTCTGTGTCCCCAGACCCAGCACCACCAGGCTCAGCACGCTCAGCACCTCACGTAGGACCAGAGTCAGCTGCTACCTTGACAGGCTTGACCGGGTATACCTGGGAAACACCTGAGGGAGCAGCACCCTGGGGAGGGAGGGGGTCTACCGACGGGACACCTGGGGTGAGGAAGAGGGGCGGGGGGGGTAGCGGGGCAGTGCGGTAGGGGAGAAGACGGTAAAAGGGTACCGACTCGTCAAAGGTGACGTCCTAAGAGGCAAAGACACGGCGCGAGGTGGGGTGGTAAAACTGCCAGCCAGGCGCGTCAGGGACAAAGCCAAGGAAGACACAGGGAATGGCACGGGAGGAGAGCTTGTCCGCGGACGTATCGCGGACAAAGGCTCAACATCCCCAGACTCGGAACACCGACGCATCGCCAACCTTCCCCGTCCAACGCAGGGTAAGCGAGGTCTCTGGAACAGAGACATGGTGCCAGAGGTTGAGCTGATGCGCGGCGTACCGCACTTCAAACGGCCACAAGAAATGGGGAGCAGCCGCATGGATCATGGAGGTACGAGCGACCTCCATGACAAGACCAATGCGGCGCTCAGCAACCCCATTCTGCTGCGGAGAGGCCGGGAGAGTGAACGTCTGGCGCATGCCGTGCTCCGCACAGTAGGCTGCCAAGAGGTCAGAGGAAAACTCGCCACCTCTGTCAGAGTGCAGACGTAGGACAGGAAAGTCCGACTTGAACCGCTCGCGGAGCTGGAGACAAGCAGCACGGATCCAGGGGATCAAGACATCAGGGACCTCACCCTTGGTACGCAAGGGGAAGACCGTGGTGTAGCGCGTGTTGTCGTCGACGACCAACAGTAAGTACCACTCATGGCCCTGTCCCCGGACGCAGGCTGGGCCCCACACGTCTAGGTGGAGAGTCTTCACGGGAGCCTCAGTGGGAGGGAACGAGGAAGAGTGAGGAGCGGCGCGCTGCCGCCCCTCGACACAGGGAAGACAGGGAGGAGCAGGCGAGAGTGGCAGGGGAGGGAGAACCCTGGGAAGACCAGAGACAAGGTACCTGGAGTGCATGCTGCGAAGGCGCTGCACTGACGGGTGACCAAGGCGGTGGTGCCAGAGGACAGTCCTGTGTGACAGGGAGCGACACGAGCAAGGGGCTGACAGCTGACCTGACGCAGACGCACACGCAGACGCAGCTACCTGAGGGGACTCAGTGGTTAGTGTGTACAAGTCCGACCCCGGCTGCCGAGTGAAGGTAGCCAGGTGACGACCCGTCCGAGCGCACGTGCAGTGTGTCACACGCTCGTAGGCCGGGGTGAACTGGTGAACACCTGCGTCCTGGAGCGCGGAACCCGCTACCAAGTTCGTAGAGAACGAGGGGAGGTAGAGGCCTGACAGCGTGCCAGATGGGACAGCAAGACAAGGGAGGGCAGTGGTGGAGGTCGCAAGGACCGGACCCCCTGAGGGGTTGGCCAGGGAGACAGAAACCGGTCTAGGGAGCTGCTCCAGGGCAGTGCGGTCGCGGAAGAAACAGCGGGAAGCACCTGAGTCCAGTGTGAAGGTGTGCACTGCCTCAGTAGGTGCAGTACCAGCAGACGTAGACGCACTAGCACCTAGGGCACCAGGTGTCAGAATATTATCTTATGCTCTAGCCTGTAGTGGGGTGCTCTATAGCGAGTACAACCCTTCTAGGGTTTTGCTATTTGTATCCTCATTCCTGCTAGTTCAACCTCTCTTTCTTTCTTCTAATTTTGTCATGCTATCAGAGCAGGTCGATCCCCCTGGATCGATCCTGTGGGTGGGTTACCACCTCCACGCTTCCGCCACCACTTCTTCTTCCCGCCGTGCGCCCCGAGGCGCGCGGCGGTTTTCTGCCCGCCGCGCGCCCCGAGGCGCGCGACGGTTTTTTCTCCCTGTCGTGCGCCCTGAGGCGCGCGGCGGTTCTCTGCCCGCTGTGCGCCCCGAGGGGCGCGACGGGCTTCTGCCCCGTCGTTCGTCGCATCGCCTTCTGGAGGCGCCGCGACGGACGACGGGGACCCGTCGCGGCCGCCCGCCGCCCTACCTTCGCGGCCCACCCGCCGCCCTACCTGCGGCCACCCGCCGCCCTACCTTCGCGGCCACCCGCCGCCCTACCTTCGCGGCCCACCCGCCGCCCTACCTGCGGCCACCCGTCGCCCTACCTTCGCGGCCCACCCGCCGCCCTACCTGCGGCCCGCGAGCCGCCCTACCTGCGGCCACTCGCCGCCCTACCTGCGGCCCACCAGCCGCCCTACCTGCGGCCCTACCGCCGCACTACATGCGGCCCGTCGCCCTACCCGTCGCGGCCCCGGCCCCGTCCCCGCCTTTCCCCCCCCCCTTTTCCCGTCGCCTGTCGAGGCGACCTGAGGGGGCCGCTTGCGGTGGGGTGTCGGGTATGGGGGTGGCCGGTGTGCCTTCCTCCCTTTGCTCCTCCTCCTCCTTCGTCTCCCACTGCTGCAGCTGTCGCTGAGGGGGGTGGTTGTGTGGGAGACTGGGGTTTAGGGTTTAAGGGGGGTGCGTGGGAGTGGAGCTAGGGGTGTAGCAGCGGGTGTGTATCAGGGGGGTGGGACTGTCTGCGGGAGGTTGAGTGGAGGCTGCCAGCATGTTGTCCGCAGCACCTGTAGTCCGGGGCGTTGTCCCGGTAGCCAAGTGAGCTTGTCGCTGCGCCAGTCGCCTGTGGGTCCGTTGCCCGTCTGCCGCTGCTTAAGCCGCGGGGCCTGTTGCTCCTGTAGTCCGGGCGCTTAGTCCGGTAGCCACTGTGCTCGCCACTCCTGTTGCCCGTGTGTCTGCAGCTTCAGCCGCCGTCTTCTATCTCCTCTCCTCTCACTCTCCCTCCTCCTCCTCACTTGCCCGTTGTGACTACCACTAGCTTTGCTCATAATTGTGAACTCTAAACTATTGCTTCTTGAACTTGTGCTCAGAATGTGTGGTGACATTGTGATCCACCCTGAGCTTGTATTGCTTTGCCTGCTCTGCTGATTACACCCCACTTTGGCTATGGGGGTGTGTCAGAATATTATCTTATGCTCTAGCCTGTAGTGGGGTGCTCTATAGCGAGTACAACCCTTCTAGGGTTTTGCTATTTGTATCCTCATTCCTGCTAGTTCAACCTCTCTTTCTTTCTTCTAATTTTGTCACCAGGACCTTGAGCAGCAGACGCGCTAGCACCTAGAGCTACAGCCTCACTGGTCCCAATGCCCGGGTCGGGCGATACACTCAATTAACAGTCACCCTCAGCACTAATAGTCAATGCATACATAGCAGCAAGGATAGCATCATAATCAAGAGCAAAGATATCAATCCCCTTCCTAAGCAGATCAGCCTAGTGGGGCAGCTCAGAGGCGTCAGGGAACTGCTCGCGCCAGGCGTCGTCGAGGCGAAAGAAACAGCGCTGCGCCGTGTGAAACTTCCCACAAGTCTGGCCAGTGCGGTCATCTGTGCGGATGACGTACGGGCAGGTACCTCCACCCCCAGACCCCCCACTCTGACAGTACCACTCACGGAGCTGCTGGGGCGAGGGAGTCTCGTCGGGACGCTGCTGCTGCTGCTGCCTCTGGCCACCGCCAAACCCCCCACACTGTACCGCTCCATCGCGCCCGCCACCCGCTCCACTGCCGCCACCACTGCCACCACCGCCCCCACCACCCCCACCACCGCCGCCGCCACTACCCCTTGTGCCGCCACTGACCCTCCCACCACCCGCGACACTTCCACCTCCGCCACCACCCCCGCCCCCCCCACCCCCTCCACCGCCGCCGCCCCCGCCTCCACCTCCACCACCCCTGACCCCCTTGCCCCTGCCGCCCTTGCGCCTCCCACTAGGAGCAGATGCGGCCCCGACCCCCTCAGCTCCGGGGTAGTCGGTAGCAGCAGCAGATGCAATGGAGGGGAGGAGGGGGGAGGGGGAGCACCCCTCAAAGAAGGGGGTGCGGGGGTCACCACGAGAGGCACCTATAGCTACAATGCTCTTCTCAGCTGCTAGGAGTTCCTTCTCGAGGAGGTCGACAGTGAGGTCAGTGGGGGAGAGGGCGAGAAACTGGTCCTTAACAGTGCGAAGGGAGTCAGGGAGGCGGGTGACAAGGTGGTAGAGGGTGAGGTACATCGGGGGGGGGGTTCTTGGCGAGGAAATCGGGGGGGAGCGCGGCACAGTAGCGGACGTCACTGGTATGGAGGTGGGTGATGAGGTCAGCTACAGTGGCAAAGGCGGACAGGTCGGGGAAGAGGTAGGGCAGTGAGAGACGGCCTATAGCAGCAGTGGCAGGAGAGGAGTAGCGCATAACTACTACGTCGTATAGCTCCGTAGTGGTCTTATGCTGGCCGAAGTGCTCGCGCTTATCTAACGGCAGGTGGCTGCGAACAGCTAGGCGAGCGTGAGCATCACGAGTCTGCCACTATGAGCGAGTAGTACTGTCAGCAGTAGCAACAGGTGCGGGAGCAGCGCCGGACGTGTGGTCATAGACGGAAACATCGTCCTTGGCAGTGATCTGGAGGTACAGGTGAAGGTCATCAAGCCAGACATCGAACTTAATCGGGCGGCCCTCGGCGTCAAAGGTGAGAACAGTGGGACTCGCCATAGTGGCAGTAGCAGTAGCAGTAGTAGCAGTAGTAGCAGTAGCAACAGTAGTAACAGTAGGAGCAGGAAGAGCAGTTGCAGCAGGTAGGGCGGCGCGGCTCGGTCAGGGCGGCGCGGCTCGGTCAGGGCGGCGCGACTCGGGTGGCGCGACTCGGGCGGCGCGACTCGGGCGACGCGGCTCAGGCAGGTAAGGCGGCGCGACGGCGGGCCTAGGCTCGGTGCGCGACGGCGCCTAGGGTGCAGATGCGCGCGGGCCGCGGCTGCGTTCTAGCGGCAGCTAAGCGCGAGCTGCAGCAGCCGACGCGCGATCGTCGCGGCGCGCTGGCTGCGACCTGCGGGCAGGCGGGTGTGGGTCGCGCGTCGGCCTAGGGGCGAGCGGGGCCTACGGGCGACGGCCTGCTGGGGCTCGCGAGAAAAAAATCGGTCCGTCCTAGGCGGCGGTTTTCCTACGCGGGCTAAAACGGCGGGGCCGCGCTCGGGCTGTTAGCGGGCTGCACACGGGCAGCGTGAGAGGAGAGCGCATGAGGGGGCACTAGGGGAGAGGCGCACGAGGGTGCTTAAAAAAAAAGGGGCGCACGAGGACACCTCTAGCGGAACGGTGGGCCCTTAGGTCTAGAACCATGTCAGAAACAAGAAGTGGTTGAACTATGAAACATTGGAGTACAAGTATGAAACCCTAGAGTTGTGTACCCCCTAAAGGCTAACCCATTATAGCCTACACAGCAATAACATATATATAATGTTTGACACGAAGTTTGCCTGCACCAAGAGTTCCTGGGACCGCTCAGCCTCCTACATCGCCTCGCCCTGCAGGATGTACGAGGTCAAGTTGTCCTCGTTGAGCATTGCCCTCGTGCTCCGCGCCATGGACAGCCACTTCAGGAGATTGTAGCTACTCGAAAGTCCCTGCATGACGTGGGTGACGTATGACGCCGTCGAGTACTGCGCGCTGGTCATCCTGATGGTGGCGATAACTCGCCGA